CCGCCCCCCCCCCCCCCCCCCCCCATCCTTGGTTCACATGAAAACAAACATCGGGACCCCTTTTCTCCCCGACCTTCAACTCGCTCTCTCATGTGTGTAAACGTACCCTGCCACACACAGATACCGAACACACACACTATCTTCCTCGTTCCTCTCAATAGGGTATAAAGTACCCCCCTTCCCCATAAGGTAAACCCGCTGGTGTGCGGCGGCGGCGGCGGCGGCGGCATCACTTCTTCAAACAAAGCTGGCGACGCTTTTCCTCCGCTTGAAGGGGGGCGTCTGGAGCCTCGGCAATTGTTCTGCGTAGTGCGCGAACTGGGTCAGCGCCGGAGACGAGATCGACCTAAAGCCGCGCTTACTTGCCATTAGCGGGTGCATCCCTCCCTTACCAGTCGCGTCAGGGCTCGCAGGCTGCTGCTGCTGTTGCTGCTGCTGGTGCCGAACACGGGCGGGATGCATGCAGCGAGAGGGAAGGTATTGTACAATGTAGGGTTGGGGTGTTTCATGTGCGGGGGTGAGAGCACAGGAGAGAACGTTACATGTAGGAACAGGAAGCCGAAATCACACCACTAGACTATCTACAAAATCAGCACTGACTTAGTTCGATGGTTTCGATTTTCGGCTTCTACAACATAATCAGCACTGACTAGTTCAATGGTTTCGATTTTCGGCTTCTACAATATTGTAGGACGGGACAATGACGGCTTCCGACACTCACACTACAGTGTGCGTACGACCTACGGTACTTCCGACACATTCCGACAAAACAACCCGCCAACACAGCCCGTTTACCGCGGACACGGGGCGTATGGCGAACGAAATGTGGACACCCACCGAAGTTCGCGGGTCACGCATGCCAAACGACTCCGCCGCATGTAGATGGCCAGAAAAGGGGGGTGTAGACATGCAGCGGTGCTGAACACTTTTTTTTTAAATTCCGACCGAGTTATCGCGTACCGTAACCCCTTCTTCAAACATCGATTGTTTCACGACCCGAAGAGAGCATACAACCAAGTAAAGCTCACCGACACACGCAAGGAAAGAGCTATCTCTACCACGTATTAGTTGTCGTTCCAAAAAACACACTTTTGTCGGCGTTGGCGCCCTAACATTGGTCGTGCGTCAGCTGTGAAAGTCACTCTTTAGGATGTGCGCGGTTGACTCTCGCACTCTTGCGCGACTGCCGAGAACTTGTTTACTGCTGTGTGTGTGATTCTCGTGGTTGCGGTTGGAGAAAACAAGCGTTTCGGAGGAGCGAAGGCGCTGCTATGCAAGCAACCCACCAGAGGTTGGAGGAAAGGGGATTTTGAGCGCGGCCGCCCAAGGTAAAGCAGAGAGCATCAGAAACAAGAAATGTCCAACCACAACGCGGAAAGGAAAACTATCTACTAAGTACAATATCACGACTGAACAATAGGAAACATAAATACAAACACAGAAAGACTCAACATGCCGCTCCGCGGCCGGCCATGAGCGGTCAAAACACGACCTACACCCGTCCATAACATACCTCGCCGAGCTCGTCGGAAGCAGTCTTGACCTTGTCGTGCACCGACTTGAAGAAGTCGATCAGCAAGCCGCCGGCGTCCTGGTCAGAGATCTCCGACCCCTCGGGGATAACTCGTGGAAGCGGCCAAGTGGGGGAGCGTGCGCCGCTGCCGCTCCCCTCCCTAATCACGGCCGCGGCCGCCAACGCCGCCGGGGGTAGAGTCCGCGGGGCCCCCGTAGGCGACGGCGCGGCGAACCCCGCTCCGGAGGGACTCCCAAGCCCCCCCCACGTC